TTGCTGATTGTTCGGATACACTGATACCGAAAGTCACAGTGATGAGGATGTCTTTTATTCACAACGTAATTTTGTGACAGTCTGACACTGACTTCCTGACTCCACTGACTTCAGTACAAAACAAAAATGTAACCCTGAAAGCACAGTCCGCCACTGACTCACAAGCTGATAATTCAGACACTCACTAAACACGTCACACTTCCTTGAGAGCTACAGAAGCAGTGATCTGCCCGCACAGAGGAATGTTGGGTCAGCTTTTCTGTGAAGAAGCTTCCACTCTGTTTGGCTGACCAAGTCACAAACAGTCTTACCTACATGTAAACGAAATCGAACCCAGTGCCATGATGAAGGGTTTTATTGTTCAGAGCCAACAACTGGACCTCTGACTTGAACTTGCGTGGGTTTGTTTTGGTTTCAAACTCAAGGTCTAACCGTCAGCACTTCTAAAGTGAGCACGTGTCTTGCGTCCAGTATACTGGACTTTCGGCATCTTTGAGGTCACAGGTACCGTCTGGTATACCGGACTTTCGGTCGTTAAAGGTTAAACAGAATAACCTAAAAGTTGACAGTTCTTCTCAGGGGGTCGAGACTTGTTTTACACTGAATCTGCAGCGACTGGCACTTAACTCCCTCATAACAGATGTACTGAATGAATACATGCACTAGGAACTCCAAAGCCTACATTTTTGTATTTATTTCTTATTTTTTGTGTCACTGTCCAGTATATGACAGAGAAAGGAATTCATAATTGCACTACTATTAAGAGAACTAGAATACTGCTCCGGATCACACCAAGTTTTTCAAGGGTCACATCAGGCCAATATGTGAGATTTGCAGTTCTCATGGCGGTAGCTATGAAGAATCCATCTTGTGAAACATGAAACCATATCACCTGATAATCATTACCAATGTTTTGGAGGACACAGCTGCCTCCCCCTCGAGGGTAAAAGAGTGAATCGAACATGGGAAAAATGATATGGATGCAGGGAGAGGGAAAAGGTTTCTCCAAAATGTCACATCACACCCCAGAAGGAAGTGATCTTCTGCCCTGTAGGTTTCACAAAGCTGTGTATATGAATGAATAAACAGGGCCAGATGTCAATGCTTCAGGAATCCCCACCATTAAATAAAGAAGTAGCATTCTTTTAACTTACTTATTCATTCTTAACACCTCCAACACTTCGTTCATGAATTGCCATAAGTAATCCACATTTAAAGCATACACCTTGGTGGTCTGCTCAACCATTAGACCTGCCTGAACAAAATTAATAGCAGTCAGACCTAGACTGTCATCTTTCGAGAGCTCCTCGATACACTTCATGTACTCATCCAGGTACTGAAACAAAGCAGTAGACAGTTAAATACCAGTCTGTATTTCAGCATCCTGTTGCATATCTTTAATTAAATGTCATATCAAGTCCGTCCATAATGCAACAATCATTAAAATATACACCATTTAACACTAACACAACATATTTCGGCCATAGATGGCCATCCTCAGGTGTTTCAATGTGTCCAAACTGTTACTGCTTTGATGTGCACTTAAATTGTTATTTTATTGCTATCCAAGGCATGTTACTTTCCTGAAACATAACATTCTTCTCCATCTGATCACACTAACATTTGCTACAAGTTATGCAGCTCCTCATTATCCTCCTCCTCATTTTTTTTCTATTGAATATGTTACTTGACTAGTGTGTGTATTATTATTATTGTTATTATTTTAGTTGTGTGACTTACGTAATTTATCACATGTATACATCTATTATCAAAGGGACTATTTCCACATCTTAGGTTTTTTGCCTGGACAGATATATGGAAAATAAAGGAAATAAATGAATGAATGAATGAATGAATGAATGCAGTTTCTCCATCCTATCTCATTTCCTCTCTCTTAGGTCCAAATATTCTCTTTAGCACTCCATTCACAGACACCCTCAGTCTATGTTCCTTCCTTAGCGATAAAGTTTCTTGCTTGTTTAAACAACAACAACAACAACAACCATAATAATAATAATAATAATAATAATAATAATAATAATAATAATAGCAACAATAACGAATTCTACGACGACGATGATGATGCTTCATTTTATTTATTAAAGTGCTTGACAACAGCTGAAAAGCAAATTAGTAATACTAATAAAATAATAATAATACTTTTAAAGGCCGGAAGATGTATTTTTAGTGTGGNTATGTTCACGAGCCCTCCACTGGTCTCTATCCTGAGCCAGATCAATCCAATCCATCCTATCTCATGTTTTTAAATAACAGCTGGGAAGACAATATATTTTGAAGTAATGATAGCAACCATTTCCTGATTTTAATTTATTTGTGAATGCAACCTTCATTTGTTCCTGTTAGTCCAAAATATTTTAACTTCTCCACACTTTAAGACAATGATAAGGACCGTTATATTTCAACAGTGAATAAATTAAATTTCACAAAATAATCAAACTCTCTCACCTTTGCTATATGATCATTCCAGGTCTTTGGTAATTTGTTCAGTGGCTTCACAAGTTCTTCGATCTTTAACAAGATCCTACTGTTTACATGTTCATTCCTCATGTTGTCACAGATTCAAAGAAGCTGAAACAATGAATCGAAAGATGTGAACACTTACTTTGGAAGGTCTTATTCTGGCAGTGGTAACTTGGTAACAAGAGTATGTATCATATAAGTTACTAGTGGATGTATGTTAATCTTCTACTCAAGACTCTGTGTAATACAAAACACAATAACTTCAACTTTCTGAAAGATACACAAAAAACTCATCTCATTTTTTCATTCAAGTTTTGTAAAAAAATAATGAAACAGCTCAAATGAACTTGGTATTCAGTTCTTTCTCATGCTGTTAATATACACATAAAATAACACAATCTGAAACTCTTTATTAGAAATGTTGGTATATCTTCAAAATATGTTGTTTTTTTTTAAATTCACTCAGTGGGGGGTGGAGTCCAACTGGGTCCACTAGCCACGGCAGCCACTGATTGGCCTATTGTAGCCTAACCCAGGTGATTATGATGATGGAGAATTTGGTGGAATGAAGATTGGCAGGGGAAACTTAAGTACTCAGAGAAAACCTGCCCCAGCGCCACTTTGTCCACCACAAATCCCATCTGACCAGACCCGGGATCGAACCCAGGCTGCCGCAGTGGGAAGCCAGCAACTAACCACTTGAGCTATGGTGCAACCTTTCAAAATATGATTACTAGTTTCTTATGTATCATTCACCTCTACACTATCTTGATGTACTTTACAATGTATACTAACAAAAGCCTGCAGTTAACTTGCAAAAACAAACAGACTTTCTCATGTATATGGGCATATTCTTCCAACAGATTCAAATCTGATGACAGATTACTTTATATCAGCTTACTTTAATTTAGTTAACTGATGTTATTCCTGTTTTGAGGTGATGGCACCATGTTAAGCAAGCCATTTTGTGGCTGTTTCACAGATCCTTACTCACTCCATCTTCAAGGTGGAATTCCTTGAAGGCACATAGGCTAAGGGCAGCCCTGCCGCTGCGTATAAAAATCAATTTTACAATAAGTTTGGTGCCAGGCAATGTCACATGGATGTGCATTAAAGATGCTCAAGTCCATTACCACTAGCTACTACCATTAACTATCTCTTTTTAGTTTCATGGAGTGAGATGAGACTGAGTCCACTTGGTACATCAGTCATTAATTGGCCTAGTGTACCAGCCCAGGGATAAATGAGTATGGAGCATTTGGTGGAATGACTGGCATGCAGAATTGAAGAACCCAGAGAAAACATGCCTCCAGTGCCATTCTGTCTACCACAAATTCATCAAGATCTGTGGGAAGCCAGAGAATACTCACCTGAGCTATGGTACAACATACCCTGAACTACCTTAATCAGCTAATGAATATGAATATCATTTATGGTTAAAGAACAAAACACAAACACCATATCATAATGTTATATCACTTAATTGCTCTTGTGGCTCAGTCAGCTAATTTTTATTAATTTTTAAAACACGGGAGGAAATATTTACGAAAAATTTATTCCGATATTTCCCTTCTCAACGTATGGCAACAGTGCAGTATTCTCACAGAAAGTATCTTGAGCTACTTATGTAGACCTAACCTACGATTAACAACTCACATAAACCAACTATAAACAATTCATCCACTTTATTCGTTCATTTCGAGAGAAAGAATCAAACTTATAAAAGTGTAATATCTGAGTCTAAAATTATAAGATGACCTAAAAAGGCGACTATTCTATATAGTATAACGCTCCTGTCACTATAACTAATATCGTAACACCACCAAAATAAATTACTTACCCTTCTCAACGTATAAGTATGTTTTGACATATACAAATCATATGCGTTACAATATTTACATAACTGCTTTTTCAAATTTAATAATAGGCCATGTTTACACTTCGGAAACATCATTGGCACAGCGCTCTTCTCTTGGGTGTGTTCAGAAGTTCAGAATCTTCAGAATGTTCAGAATATTGACTACCGCTACGACCGATACCTACAACCTACAGTTTATTATCATGTAAAGACCGTAACCGATGTTTTGAGTGTATGTTGATGACGTTGATGACCCTAAAGTTGTTTGTAGTTCTGTAACGGAAATGGTTGATTTGGCATTATACAGTATAAAAGAAGCTCCTCCAAATTTCATACCTAAATACTCTAACTGCAATTATTATGTGTTTATTATTATGTTCTATATCCATCGGTGTTTAACCATGTAAGGATTTATGGAATGCTGAATAAATGAATAATCATCGGGAAACGTAAGGTTGGCCAATGTGAATTTAAGAGATGGACGACAGTTGATAGAAACGTTACGCGGGACTCTCGAAATATAAATGGAAAATGACTATCAAGTCAAGGAGGATGAGGTTTGGCAGTGTATATAGCACGAATGAGGGAGACGAGGAATGCATATAGGTTATTGGTGGGAAAGCCAAAAGGAAAGAGACCACTGGGAAGACCAAGGCGTAGGTGGGTGGATAATATTCAAATGGGTCTTAGAGAGAGAGAGAGAGTATGGGATGGTATGGATTGGATTGATATGGCTCAGGATAGGGACCAGTGGAGGGCTCTTGTGAACACGGTAATGAACCTTCGGGTTCCATAAAATGCTGGGATATTCTTCAGTAGCTGCAGAATTGGCGGCTCCTCCAGAAGAGCTCAACTCCATGAGCAAGTAAGTATATGATTATATCACCACAGAGAACATGAACGTTGGTAGTTATTGCTGTGAAAGATTTGAGGTTATTCTGATGATTACTGCCTTGCGGGATGTGACGTCGTATTCAGTGGTAGATTATAGTTGACCAATCACAGGGATGTAATGCCTCCTGTTGAAGATTGAAGCAATACTTCCTTCCAGAATGTCAGTAACAATCCATCAGAAACCCAGTAACACTAGACTAACTCAGATTACACCTAGCCAGAAATTATCTCACAGTTAATGTAAATAGCGTGGACATTCTGCTTTTGGGGAACAAATTTGGTCTGTCAGAAAGTACAACCACTGCCAAAAAATTCTGCCAATACTGACAGCCACTGTGGTCTCATAGAATGAAATAAAAAAAAAAAGTCTCCACTGAGTACATGTGGGCGACTCCCCCAGCCCCCAACTGGTTACCAGCATTTCTCTGGAACATTCTGTCTCCACCTTTTAGCCTAAAGTTGGAGACAGTATGTTGGTCTCCTGTCCAAATGGTTAAGTGCCCCTTATTTCCCTCATTTGGCTACTAAAAATCAGTCACATTATCTTTATTTACTGCCACACAAAAATCTTATCACTTAACTAGGCTGTAATCAGTCCTTTCTTGATATCCAACATTCTGTTCAAATGATATGAACCAAACGCTATGAGAAACATTTTGTGAGGACCAATATTTACAGTAAAATATCTGCATTCAGTAACACAAGAATCTCCTAAACATTTCAATGGCAGTGTCACATTTTTTTATGACCCTAAGAGAACAGTCATCTCTTCAACGTGGACAAGTTAAATTCGAAAGCACTTGCGAATAATATGAGTTTATATCACACATCACAAATTCATGGCCTTAATACTAGGCGTAATTTTGATCTTTATCGCCCTCCAACAAATTTGACAACTTACCGGAGAGGACCTTATTATTCTGGTATTTAACTTTTTAATCATCTTCCTTTAAATATAGGAGTTAATCCAGAATATTAAGCAATTTAGAGAAGCTTAAAGTGCTTTCTTACATACTAAATCCTATTACACTTTAGACGAATATTTTAATTAGGGATAGTTTCTTGTTTAGCTATGATCCATTATTTCATCTATTGTCATGTACATGTTCCAATTTTGTATAATATTTTATATACACATGGTAGGTTATGTAGTTGCAGTGATGTATACGGTTTCATATGCTTGATTTATTGTTTTGGATTTATATGCATTGTTCTGTTGAGTACTTGTTGATTTAGCAAGCTTGTGGTGTGACAGGTTCTGTATCCAATGGCTTTGGCCTTGTATGGATGTGCTGGAACGTGTAATAAATACAGTACTAAGAACTGGAGAGGCATGAGTGAAACATGTTTACCAATATCTCTGGGAGAACCCACACAATTAAAACACTAAACAATATTATGATTTCACGGAGATATCTTTAAAGCAGCTGTTCTTAATGTAGTGAAATCTTACGACATTTGGGATTTTCAGTGGCATGTATTGAGATTATGGTCTTCTGCAAGCAATGTGATGCCATGTAATCACATGGAGAGGTACCAAAGTTCTGGAGGAACCCTGTTTCCATATTCATGGTAAAAGTACGATGCTCAAACTTCAAGCAGCAGGTAATCACACTCTGGTCTCTGCACCTCATAGAAGGACAGCGAACTGAGCAACTTGGTTCTCTTCATACACAGTATTTGTGGGGGAACTCCATACAGGTTACAAATGTTAGAAGAGGGAAATAATGTAGAGATGATTGAGTTATGTACATCAATTCATTTTAATATTGTATTTTTAATTCTTTCCTTACATAGAATGACCAAATTAGCAATGGTGATTATGTACAATATTGAACATGTCCAGCCAACAAACTTGGAAGCGAAATCCTTGTCACAATTCTTTGACAAAAGTGGACTATTACTTTGTACGTTTGTAAATTCAATACCAGGAGTGCAGTAATTCTGAAATACATTTCTGCAGTGGGGATGCATACATGAATCTGGAATAATCACTATTGTGACTAACAATAAAGATGAAGAAAAATGTTAGATGACTTTCAAAAATTAATTTACAATTATATCACAAAAAAATTTTAAGCATACGCAAACAAGCACTTTCAGATCTCTGTCACACCAACAATAATGAATATATACACTTAACTTTTGGTATAGAGCACACAAGAATGACAAGGTATCCAGCTGTTAATTAACCAGCCTCTGGAATATGTAATGTTGCCAGACACCAACGTGCCTGAAAGAATATTATGTTTGTATTGTGTCACACAAAGTCTTTTGAGGCCTTATGTAGTGATCTAAGGACAAATCTGTGTAATGTGCTAATACATCAAAGCTAGCAAAATCATGTCTGCAAAGGTGGAAATGCACTTTCTTGCTACATGTATTTCACCACTACACTCCCTGACAATGTGAACCTTCAAAAATAATATTAAATTCAATTCAATTTGTTACTCTCTCAGGTTATGTCACATGCATTTGTAAATCTTTGTGTACAGTAATGCTAAGAAAACTTGTCATCATTAATATTCAATTTTCCTAGAAAGAAACATAATTTTCAATGTTGTAACTATTCATGAAATTTTCCACTGAGAAGTACAAAGAAAACTTTTCTTATATTTAATTTACTAAAATGCAAAGTGTGTAACACACAAGCCAGCATTATTGTTGTGCTTTTGTGTAATTCTCATACAAACAACATAAATGTTACTGTTGGGTAAACTGAACATTCATGGTGACAAGTACAAGGAAATCTTATTGAGACAGCTTCCAGCTGACAAATAACACCATTTACAAGACAATTACTTTGAATGTAACAACTTAATGAAGGCAAAATAACAGACCTAAACAAAGCCCTCTCTACTGATACCAGTCATGGCTGGCAAGAAACTCAAATTACTGTTTGTAGAGAAACTGTTTGAGCATTTAACAAGAGGTCATGGAGAATTCTGGCACATACAAATTAATCTGTCTTACAATTTTATCAGTCATTGCAAACCAACTCCTCCTTGGCTGTTTCATGTCTCAATCCAGTGATATAAGACATGTGAAATATAAAGCAAAGCAAAAAAGAATAACAAATATGCATTATATAATGGCACAAAAGCTATGCCCTTTATACTGAGGCAACTACACATCTCCAGCATATTCCCCCCCCCAACTGTCTAACCACTGTTCAGGCAGATGCTAGTAGTGATAACCTTTGCAAATGATACACATTTCGGGCTAGCTCACATAGGCCAGATGGAGCTGGAGGAAAACAAAAGATGAGCAGATGGTGGGAAGCCACGAGTGTCATCAACACCACCATTAATGGTACTTCTTTCTGTGGGAGGAAAATTAATTGGGAACCCACTGAATATAACCACAAAGTCCATCTGCTATTACAAAACTGACATGGTGGGACGGGAGAGCTTTGTTACATGAAATGAGACAACAAATCTGTGACGGCAATCCATTGAGGAACTAAGCAACAATACAGAGTTTACAATTTATTCTGCAGTAATACACTGGGCAGTTTTCTAATTACAAGCAGTTTGCCAAATTTAGGAACATGCTACAGGCTGGACAATCTTTATCCATTTTTGACATTGTAAGAATGAATAGGTGTGAATGTGAAGCACATACTGTAGCAGGGTGTCCTACAGCCCAAGTATGTGTTTATTTTGATTTTCTCTGTGTATACACATTACAAAAACTATTTACACAATTCAGGTGCAAATGTAAACTTCAACTATTGGTGCAGAAATAATCACAAATTGTCTGGCATCTAGAAAGTATTTTACTATAAAGCGATAAGCAGAAGATGTACAATTCAGACAATTTTCACATACATAAACATCATTTTACAAAAATGGATTCAACTAAACTTTCTTTTACTAATCCTATTATGATATCAGAACTGTTAATTCTGTATCTTTGATGCTATAGGGAAATTTAAAATATCAAATTTTATAAAACATTGAACAAAAAATTACATTCTTTACATCAAAATTAAGCTGCCCAGTATCTTCTCAAAATTCCATTAGACTTGTACCCCAAGTTCACAGTAACTTTTTTCAAACAAAAAACTTATCTGAAAGTTTTGTGTCTTTTAGAAATAATGTCCATTATTCAACAAGAAATTCAATAAGCACAACCAATATGTAACCTACCATATGGACCTCTGGGAAATGTCATGTGAAGTAACTATAATTGCCATTAAAGCACTGGCACAATCTGACTACAAGAGGACATCTGAATGCTTGCACTGTTTTGGCTACTGGGGAGTCCCTGGATGATAATGAAAATAGTTCACTAACTGTATACAGGTGCAATGTACCTTTGTGGTAGTTATGATTAATTATTTTGAAAAGCTTATATTACTGAATATATGTATTCAGAATACACAAAACTCGCAGCTTAATATACAGGTATTGTTGCAAAAGAGCATTCATTCATGGTACCTCAAACTTGATGTCACTTCTGTGACTGGTATCAATATAAGGACCCATGTACCTTACATCATACAAATATAAGCATGGCTATACTCACTATAGCAATACACTGAATTCCTTACAGTATAATATAGAAACCATGTCTCAGTGTTATCAGGACACTTTCCAAAAATAAACTGGACTTACCATTTTGACACAGTACCAATTCTGCAAACTATAGCTACATAATATTACAGGTAAGAGACAGCATTTGTTTCTATTCAGTTTAAACATAAAATTATGGTAACATGTACATCAAATTGTTGTACAACGAATAAACCACATGAAGAGTCACACATGGGAAATCTAATTCCATTAAATTGGCACTCATGTTCTCTTTACAAATATTATCTCTTTTTTTAAATATACTGAGCTAACAATTGGACCTCTTACTCTTGTGAACACACTTTGTCACCTTTCAGTATGACAGATTATTTATAAAATACATATATTAAAAAATACAGCCTTCCTACAAAACATTAAATTCTAAGCGATCAGATATACGAGACCTGCATCAGGTTCGAAGCTTTGGTTCAGATGCATGAGACGGTACTTCAGCTAATCCGAAGCTAAGAACACATAGCATAGGGGTGACTGACAGCACACTGCAGTGAAAATGGAATGGCGAAGTGCCAGTAAACAGAGAAAGTTTGTGCCTGTCTGTCTGGAAAGCTTCAATTTCAGCAAAATTGTCAGCATGTTTCACTGCTCCTGACCTCACCAAAACAAGAATTTTTCACTACAGAGGTGACTTCTTTGAGACTGTGTATCAGGCATTCAAAATGCTACAGAAGAACTGAATATTAATGGTAATACCAGAGAGTGAGAGAACATCATCCTTCTTACTCTTTTAAAGTACATTCTATGCATGAAGGAACAATAAGATGGTGTAGTCACCATTGAATTACTGAAATTTAAGTCAGTCCTTTTACACTGAGACTGTCAAACACTAATTATTTTCAGAAGTACTATAAGGTATTATATATCACATTTCAAGATTCATTCAAAGTTATATAAAAATCAACCACACTGCAATAAGATGGAGCACTTCAAAGACGAGGGCAAAGAAGCCCATTAATTTGACGAAACATGCTTTCTATACAGGTCTCTGGTATATCAAAGACTCGCACAGATGCCAATTTGTGTGCAGTTAAACTTCGAGATGGTGCAATCAGTTTAGACACATTTCAGTTATTACTGAAATAATGTCAGAACGTAAGTTCTGACTGAGATTACAATATCTTTACAAGAGGAGAATGCACACTTTCATATTTCAAGTATGAACCATGTTACCTGTTACATTAACACATACATACAAAAAAAATATATATATATATAGTAAATAATCATAATGAAGAGAGTCAAAATATATTTAATGTAAAAACCGAAATCATAATAAAATATCAGACATCTGTTAACATTGAAGCCACAAATATCTTCTAATGCTGTGCAGGGAAAGTAGCAAAACCGTTTCATGTGCTCACTACTCAGCTATCTTCACCTGGTGGCAACAACTGACACTCTGTTACAAGTCTCTGGCATAATAACCAGTGCATCCATAGAATTTAGGATGTAAACACTATACCATAATGTACCTTCACAAATCAACCATGCTGCATCACCATCAACATCTTACTGATCTAAGTTTGTGACAGTAAAAATTATTTTCTGTATTTCTCCAGAATTTTAGGGAAGGTTCCTCCTCACTGCTACGTGCAGCATAAACATAACCCTCTCACAGGCAATAAATCTCATTAAATGTTTGTAAGAGGATAGGATGGGAAGGGAGGGTCATGTTGAAGTTGTGGAGCAACACAGAAAAGAATACAGTTATCTTCTCAAATATCCACAAATAAAAATGGCCAAAAAATGGCATGCAACTTATTTGTGATGATGATGGCAACATTCCTCATCTCCCCACGTGCCATTTCAGCTTTGACACATTCCTGTCCCTTTTATGTACTATCATGCAGCTGCAGGGTGTCAAGTGGCTGTCGAGAGTTACTGTGCAAAGGTTCTCAGAACATGAGAATCAAAGACTTATACAGCTTGTAAAAGATTGAAAATAGTAATTGAAAGTCAGAATAATCAGATATTGTACATTACATTGAAACTGGTATGAGAGGCAGGAGTTGGAAGGAAATGCAGCTTGATCCTGGAAAGTACAAAAGAGGAGACCACACTTGCATTTTAACACAATATGCATTATGTACATTTGACTGTGCCTTAAAACAAGGAATATATAGTTTATTAAGGGGCACATGGTATTCAAGAAAATATTGGTTTCTCTTCACAAACTGTCAGAAAAGTATGATGTGATGGTGACAACATAAGGATGTATGAGAAAAACAAGGTATAATATATTTGTGAATAACTAAGTAAATCCCGGACTCAATACCGATGACACTGGTACAGTACCACTGTCATCCAAAATGGTGGTTTAATTCAGGGATACATTTATGAAAGCTGCCAACATCAGTACACAAAACATTCCAATTGAAGGGGTTTTATTCTATTTTACTTCTAGACCATGCCATTCCTCACATCTCTAACCTTACTTTTACCTTTTAAAAATAAGAGGCATAAAGAATGGGGGGGGGGGTACTTTGTTATGGAAAAATATAAAACCCCTACTGCCTTTTGTCCCTATACATGAATTACCATCAGAGAAATCACAGGACATAAGGAACAAAGTTGTGACATGCAGTATTTAATTGTGATGTAGCAGCAAAATTTACGAACTGTTGGCAGGAGGCTCCAGCATTGGGCTTGCGCAGGTAAATTACAGTACCAGAAGGCTTCCAACAGAGAACAGGTAAGAATTAATGCACTAATAACACTGATATGAAGGGAACAAATGATTACATGGCCAAATTTTCTGAATAAGATTCTAGAGAAAAAATTATCCAAAAAGGGAGAAACAACTAAAAAAATTCTCTTAGCATGTAATGTCACAACATTACAGCTATGCTGGCAAGGAGATTCAGAGTGTGAAGTCAGACAAACCGCATGGTTTACCTGACAGTACAGCATAACCAGCCTGCCAATCTGTTTATGCTGATATGTTACACATCACTACTCCAGAAATACACAAGAGGTTTCTTGCAATACCACATGGCGGTCTGTCTGGACAGTCAATCTTGGAAGATTGTAGTTCCTATCAACATTCAAATATAGCATTTGTACAGTGAAGCGACAAATAGCAAATATTGAACAGCTGAAAGCCACTGTCAGGCATGCAGCCAGCCCATGAAATCAGAACAGGTTTCAAAACTCACCATCTATTCAGCAAACACACTGCTTTTGAAATAATGTTTTCAATGTGAACTAAATGATGCTGATTAGTACACCACCCTTGACTTTGAAGGAAACAAAGATCTACCTTTGAAGATTAGGCTTTGTACCGGTCCATGTTACGGATCCCACAGCAGAGAATGAGAGAAAAGATGAGGCCCAGACACTCAATGACCCCAATACCAATGCCAACACCTACTACGATGCTCATGTGGCTTTTCAATGTGTCGAGCAATTTAGTGACACACCCCTGCAACAGAGTTAAAAGATGGCACTTGTAATGTATTATCTGTTTCCAGAATGAAGTTAAACAAGTTAGGAGAAGTATATATAGTACATATGTTCCCTTATAATCAACTCAAAAACCACAAAACAAAAAACTGTGAAGGACATAAAATGGTTTCAATTTTCTCTACAGTGTTTGTTCAATACATTTTTCACTTTGATAACTATCAAGTTACACTTGAGATACCTGCAGAAAAGCATGCAGGTCTTTGTGTTAGATGTTTGTTACTGTCATCAGAATTTATCCAAAAATTGGAAGTTTGTTGATACCTTCTTTGAAATCTCTCCAGTACCAGATTTGATAAAACTCAAATTGTTACACGCAGATGGGCACATGGACAGAAAGTCATAACACACAATCATTTCTGCAACTTTTCATTATGCACGTGCAAAAGGTATATGCACATCACCTCTCATCTGTTTCTGTGGGAAACACAGACACAACAATGGTGACATTTAATTTGTCCCATAATTTACTGAACAGTAATTAAACAAAGATATATCAAAACAAAAAATCAAATGGTTTAGAAATGAAATGGAAAACAATATCTACTTTATCAGATGAAATTTAGATCTGTTTTAAGTAGATTCTAACGGGTTCTGATGAAGGTGGATGACACACAAAATTGCTGGGTTTTTGGACTTCTTCCATCATCCAGAATTCTAGGTCATAGAAAACATGACATTTCAGAAACTGGATCTGTTTCCATATTCAGGTGAGGAAGGAAGACACCTACTAATTTGGGCTCCCTAGAAAGAGCTAATCTCAATCATCCAGTAATTGAGATTAGCTCTTTATAAGGGGCCCAAATGAGTAGGTGTCTTCCTTCCTCACCTTAATATGGAAACAGATCCAGTTTCTGAAACGTTGTGCTATTACCTAGAATTCCGGAAGCTGGAAGAAGTTCAAAAACCCAGTAATTCTGTGTAGATCTGTTTTGTTGACATGAAAGTGATTAGAGCTATGAGCAACAGCAGGACTCACCTCAGAGTATATTATGTTGGTTATCTGTGCACCAATGCTAGTCTTCACAGCAATCTTGCATAGTTCTTCATCCGTTCCCTCACGACAACAGCTGGTTGGGATACTGTACTTCTGCAATATTGAGGACACACTCACGTCCAACGTGCTTTTCCCTTCTGTGTTGAACTTGCTCCCAGCCCAGTCTCTTGGTCCAGTGACACCACAGCAATGCAACTGTGAACCATCAAGTGTCAACTTATGAGATCTGATGTTCTCATGGCAGAGAATATCCTGGGAAGTGACACTGTGTACTGTGGAAAATGGTTACAATGTCTTGGAAGTAGCACGTTCCTTCAAAATGTTGGTACCTACCCACCAGACAACATGGCATCACATCTCTTAAGACCATAACATTAACTATCAACTTACTTTGTGAAATTTAACTTCAGTCATAAAAAGGCATATGTATTACTTGTATGATCTAGTTTGAACATAACACTTTGAAGCCTGTGGAATGGAAAAAAGGAGAGAACAAAAGTAAAATTGAAAGAAAAGAGAGTCAATTGCTTATGATCCAGCTGAAGCTCAAAGACAATGAAATCTTAGTAGTTGGTAGTCTATCTACAATCATTCTTGGGAGATATTATACAGGGTGTCCCAGGAGTAATGGACCAAACTTCGGGAGGGTGTTCCTTATGTTAAAGTATGCCGATATAACCCAAAACACCTATGTCCAAAGTTGAACGGTTACAGAGATAATGGCCCAAGAAAAGTGTGGTCTTCTGGCAGGTCCATGCACTGTACCTCTCAGCTGAGAGGCCTTATCTGTGTTTGTTCTTGAGTGCGGTGATACACCCTAGCCATGCTTATGTAGTTGGCTTTATCAGAACGCGCAGTCAGTACGTTATGTCAGCGCTTGCCATTCATGTGTCATGTATAGTGCTTGGAAACCCTAAGGACAATTATGACATGGCGAGCGAGTATTTTGTACTTCAATTTTATGGCTTCATGTCACTCACAAGTTAGTTTTATGTTACGTACATTATTAACATTACAGAATCCACATATTCCTGCCAGTTTTAATATGTATTTTGTAATCAACAAGTGTGCAACGCCGGTCAAAGTTTGACACTTCTCTGGCCATTATCTCCGTAAACGTTCAACTTTGGACATAGGTGTTTTGGGTTATATCGGCCTACTTTAACATATGGAACACCCTCCCGAAGTTTGGTCCATTCCTCCTGGGACACCCTGTATATATCTACAGCACTACAAAGTCATTCTGAACATTTTTGCATCTTGATATCCACTGACCATTTTGTCAAAGACAATAGACCCACCACAGCAAAAACAAAGCTTCTCTTTTTACAAGAAGTGTACTTTAACAATTATGTGTGCACTTTAACGTTATATCAATCATTAATAGAACTTCCTATTTTCAGTAACTCACGTCAGAACTAGCCAACCATCAAGTGCCAACATCTGCTGGATACATGCTACACGGTAAGAAACGTTGCACAAGTGACTGTTGATATCTCATACACACAAATTAATGTGAAGCCAATTTATTGACATACATTCTAGTTTCTGCAGCAAGTTAATCCGTTTTCGACCAATGTCCCCAAGACGATGTTTGATGCTCTGTTCAAACAACCACACCATGATTTCCAATGATACCTTGAAGTTTCTAATTAGACTTTACCAATATTTCATTCTGTCATCAAGATATGGGAGGGAGCCTTATGCTCTTGTGGTCTTCTCTGACGAAGTATGCAGTTTACATCTCACATACATGACACAACATCAAGAATAAAGATAACACTGAAACATATGGGACTTATTGTCAGATTCAAGTTGCTCCAAATAGAACTATGTGATCACGATACAGAATATACATACCTCTTTCTGAATAGCATCAAATGTCTGTGTGCGTGTGTCCACAACCCCGTACTCATCCTGCACTGTTAACCTGACAGTGCTTTCCACATACTTCTCGAGCCCATCCCTGTTGCTGTAGGCCCACACTCCAGCTGCGATCTCAGCCACAACGATGATCAGGAGGAAGCAGAAGAACTGTAACATAACATGCAATACATCTGACCATACACAACATACATCCAAGTCACATGACTTACTCACACTGACCACTACATTCTCATTCGTTTCCATGTTCATTTAGTGCAAATATAGTTTACTGTTGACAGAGATCATGAACAACAGAAGGTGATGACAACATAAAGATGCATGGGGGAGTACAGATGGCTCCAGGCATTTTTAACCTGAGCACTAGATGGAGGTGAACAGTCAGCTTCAAGATCTGGGCATATTACACTTGGGGAAAAGTGATCCTGGCACCAAATGAATATGAGGCTGGGTAGGCAACAGAGCCAATTCCAACACTGGCCCATGATGGGAAATGACATTCAGTCAATCAAGGCTGCAGGCTTATTACTGACATAAAAACATCTTCCTGGTATTTATTTATGGTTTATTTAATGATGCTGTCAGTTGATACGACTATATAGGGCCAAATAACTGAATGATTAGTAAATAATGAATTGGAAAGTTGTGGAAGAAGCTAGTTGGGGCTTAATTTGAGGTCCCATCCTGGCACTTTTCTGGAGGGACTGAGGAAACCACAGCAAAGCTCATCAGGGTAGCCTGTCTTCAGGCTGAGAACTGAACCTTGGATCTAGCAAACATAAAGCATGACTGCTCATTACTTTACTGTAATACTTTCTTTCAATTTCATGAAATAACAAATGTTTCAAATAAAAAGTTCAATACTTCAATGAGAGACGTACTGCATGTTATGTATAAGTTTCTGTCTGATGAACTGTTTGAGATCTTTGCATTTTAGCTTCAGGTAAAGCAGCACTTATATTATGCCAATGGGAAGCAAATATGAAACTGGTCCATCAGTGGTTAGTGCAGACTCCTGAGACTAATCATCTTCAGAATTCACTTTGGGCTAAAAGCATTCAGTTATGCACATACCGAGACAAGCATGCATGGCGACTCCCTGTATGCTCCACAGCAACCAAGAAAGCCCACAACAAACATGAGTACCCCCACTGCCAAGAAGATGTATATCCCTGTGTGGTAGCTGGATTCATCCTGCGCCATACGGACATAGAAGGTTGGATCCGTAATCATCCATACTGATAGGACAATGATTGCTAGGCCCACCAACTGAAAGGAAAGAAAATATTCATCATTATTAACAAAGCATTCACTAGACAGCACTGCAACATGTACTGAATTGACTACATTATACTGAGGCCACAGGAAGAAATCCCATCGAAGGTGGGGGGAACAGTGTTCAAGGCTTCCTACTATATTCATTTCCTGTTACGTCTCGCTTATATCAACCGGTGCGACTGGCTTGCTGCTGGAGAAGAAGCACCGATACCTTCAAAGAAGTGTGGATGGGGGTGATGTCTGGGATTTCAGTATGTAGTTAATATTTCATAGGCTGTATTATTCACAACTGTACACACAAACTGCTATACACAATAATAAAAAGGATCATCCAGCAGGTACACGTGATGGCAGCAGTGTGGCTGGGAAACACAATTTACAATCCATCCCGTCTTGAAGGACGGCAGAATTCTTACGTCTGCAGTATGACCAACCAGTTAGGCCGTGCCATAGCTGAAGCGGTTAGTCGCTGGCTTCCCACCGCGGCGGCCCGCGTTCGATCCCGGGTCTGGTCAAGTGGGATTTGTGGTGGACAAAGTGAATCACCCGGGGCAGGCTACAATAGGCCAATCAGTGGCCGCCGTGCTGAGTGGGCCCAGTTGGACTCCACCCCCCACTAAGAGAATTTAGTCATAAAAATTTAATGACCGATCAGTCACTCTCACTCCTAGAGCTGAGCCCTCCTTGGAGAAGCTGCCACCTATGCAGCTACTCAAGAACTTCCCAACATTTTATGTAATCCAATGGTTCATTACCGTGTTCACAAGAGCCCCCCGCTGGTCCCTACCCCCAGACAAATCGATCCAGTCCATACCATCCCATCCTATCTTAAGATCCATTTTAATATTATCCACCACCTATGTCTTGGTCTTCCTGGTGGTCTCATCCTCCTTGACTTGATCATTCTAATTATATTTGGCGAAGACTACTAGTTATGAAGCTCCTCATTATGCATTTTTCTCCAACATCCCATCATTCCATCCCTCTTCGGTCCAAATATTCTCCTCAGCACCCTGTTCTCAAACACCCTCAGTCTATGTTCCTCCCTTAATGTCAGAGACAAAGTTCCACACCCATACAGGACCAGAGCCAAACTACTGTTTTGTATATTCTAATTTTTATGTTTTTAGACAACAGGCGAGAAGACAAAGTGGACTGAGTGGCAGCAAGCATTACCTGAATTCAATCTCCTCTTAATTTCCTCTTGAATCAATGACTGACCATTAAATAAAATAATAATAATAATAATAATAATGATAATGATAATAATAATAATAATAATAATAATAATAATGAGTGAACCGGCCATCTGTCTCGTAGCAAGAACTGAAGAGACTGCACAACTAACAGAGACGTCTGCCACTGACCACGATCAACTTTACAACCTTACAATCTGCTTGAAGATTCATTTTAATGCTATTCCTTCTTCACCTGGTCATTTAGCAGAGATGCAAGAAGACTATATTGAGCGTAACGCGAGGAAAAACTAGATCTGCATACTTCTCAAACACGTATGAGGCCACAAGATTACTGGGATCCTACATCAAATGGCTCTTCACTCCCACCTCAAAACTTTGCACGGTTGGTATACTGATACGACAGATCACAGTGAATTAAAACGTACAAAGGAAAGGTGAAGTGTAATGGAATGATGGCCACTCCAGGTTTAATGGAATTTCATATACTGGGTCTAAAAGTATTTGGGACCGTTTGGAACCACACACTTATACATGTAGTCTGAAAAATGGTGTCATGGCGTCGTAACGCGGTGATTTTTGAGTTGCTAATAATCTCAAACGATTCGAGAGTCCCATGCCGTACATAATGCCGTCCGTGATGTGCACGTTCCCTCTCAACGTATAATTGCGCATCAGAGGTAGGCTCTTGCGAGTCAAGGTCACGAACGTCTCATCAACTGGCTGCTGGCCGGATGTTTCCGTCTTGTTCCCAGCTGCTACGGGTTGGCCATACAAAGCATTTCGGAAACCAAACACCTGAATACAGGATCTTTTATCTCTTCCGTTTATGTAAGACAAGATGGCCTGTCTTCTTGGTTACACCACAAAATGGGGCATAATCTGAAAGCCACAACATTATCAGTTTTCGTTACGAAATGATCCAACTGTTGGACAGAGGGTCTAAATGCGAACAAGTACGTCGCTGCATTGAGCAGCTGGGGGGGGGGG